ATTTTTTACATTTTCAGAATATGTATATTTTGTAATAACAATTTTCTTATGCAAACAAATAATAGCACTTAATATAATGAGTAGTAAAGTAAAAAATACAGAATATTCCATATATTCCTTAAGATTGTTATTATTGATATTAATAGAGACATAATACTTTTGACAGCAATATTATAAATTAGTTATAACTTTAAATGATTTAGACTAAGGTCTGATATGATTTAATTAAATATATAATTTAGTGTATTTACCATGCTACAAGTAACTTAAGTATTACATATCATAAGTTTATCAGTTTTTAAAAGTTGTCTATCTAAGATAACTAGAACCAATTTATCATTGTCTGTGTGTGTTTCATAGTCTTGTATTACTCAATATATCTCTGAGTGTTATAAATATAATGTTAATTTCCATTAAAAAAAGTATTTAAAAATAAAACTAAAGTAAAGGTTAAGAGAGATAATGAAAGACAAGAGCGAAGTCTTATGAGAGGTTTGACTCAAACTCTGTATTGAGAAGTGAAGTGAAGGCGAGAGAGTGTTTGACAACTGATGGCACCGTATGTTGTGATTAGTGTTGCGTTCAATGCATTCAATGTTTACATGAATTTGTTGTCAAAACATATTCACTGTGTTTGTTGTGAAGACACGCTTTCAGTGAATGACAACTCAATCAAGACTTCAATTGAATTCAATTATCACTTAATCGGTTCCCAAATGTCTGGCAAATCATATAACCGTCCGCTGGAACACAATGAGTATCTGAAACTCAAGTATTTGACACCAAATGATGGCAAAGACGATAAGAAAAAGAGGATTAAAATAAAGAAATCGCTTAAACCTAAGAATAAGAAGTGATTTGAATTTGTTTTATGAGATTATCTTCACTTAAATTAATGACATTTTGTTTGTCCACAGAATCCGCATCTTTGACGACGACATAGACCTCAAGCACATCGACGCCAACGCCAGCGATGAAGACCTGTATTTTGGGACCAACGAAGAGAAACCCATTATAGCAGAAGTGGTCGACGAAAGACCTCTTCATATGAGACGCAAAGACATCGACAGAAACCGATGGAAAGCCATTGATTCCAATGTTGATGAGACGGACAAGAGATCTAATGAGAGATTAAGACATGATTCAGACAGTGATTTGTCTCCCGTTCGCACAAAAGACACCAAAAAACGGGACTCAAGTGTAGGCTCAAGACATAGAGATAATAAGAAAGACAGAGATTTATCTCCAAAACGGAGGCGACACGACTCTGACAGTGATTTATCACCCGTTAGATCAGTTGAGACCACAAAACGTAGTATTAGTCATAAGGACAACGATTTATCTCCAAAACGTAGACGTGATTCAGACAGTGATCTCTCGCCACAAAGAGAGACAAATGGGAGACACAAGCCTTTGTCAAGGCATCGCTCCAAAGACATATCGCCTCCAAGACAGAGATTGTCAAAAGGTTTAGATAATAAGACATCTGAGAGCCGACACAACTCTGACAGTGACTTATCTCCACCGAGAGGTCAAAGCGATGACAAAAAGCCTAAAAAGCGTGAACTGACTCTCGGCGGCAAAAAGGCTGGCCTTTCAGATGGAAAGTNGTTCTTACGCGAAGAACTGATGGCCACTAAACGGAAGGAACAAAAACTATTTGAGTCGATAAGCGATGAAATGTTGGGCAAAAACGCCAAAACCGTTTTCAGAGATTCAAAATCTGGACGAATCCGAAACCTCGAAGAAGAGGCCAAACTTGAGTTCGAGAAGAATTTAATTAAAGATGAAATTGAAGCCAAAAAGAAAGCCAAATACGAGAAGTGGTCTAAAGGTGTGGTTCAGACACAACAGCGACAAGAGAAGAGAGAGTCGGATCTGCACGAGATGTCCAAACCGTTGGCCCGCTATGAGGGGGACGTCGACTTGGATAAGATGTTACGGGAGAAGGAGCGCGAAGACGACCCGATGGCGGCTATGATCCGCAAGAATAAAGACGAAGAGAAACTGATTGACGGAACCGTTAAAGTGAAGCCCAAATACAAAGGGCCGGCGCCTCCACTCAATCGCTTCAATATATACCCCGGCTATCGATGGGATGGCGTCGACCGCTCCAACGGCTTCGAGAAGAAGCATTTCGACCGAATCGCTAACAAGGAGTCCACTCTTGAGGAGGCGTATCGGTGGTCCACTCAAGACATGTGAACCGTTTTGACAGACACTATAAACTTATTTTTTTAGCCAAGAAATTGATTTCAATCATTATTTAGCCCACAATTACATATATTTGTTAATTTTATTACATTTACATGAATTCACTATTAAATTAAAACATTTAATTAAATAAATGATAATTTAATGAACTAAAGTCAAAGCAGTTCCAATGGGTGATGGTTATGGTTATGGTGCCAACCTATGGTCACGTTATTATTGAATAAC